TTCTTTCTTCATCTGTGACAGAATTTCTAGACATTTCATTTAATTCTCTTGATCTGTCAGCTGGCTGTTGTTCATCATATACTATTCTTATGACACTATTTGAAAACTCAATTTTACATGTTGTGGATTCACCTCTACCACTCTTTACATCGTGTGTGTCTTTAAATATTCCTTCTGGACGTGGAGTGAACATGCTTCCTTGGTTGACTACATTCTTCCCCTTTTCTGGTAGAACTGCTGCATCCTCACTTGTGCATATGTGGTCATTCTCATTTACAAAGCTTTTGTCCGCCACTAAATCAATAACCCATTCTTGACCATCCATAGTCTTGTCTAGTCCCTTTTCTAAATGTCTTGTTTCATTCTGAAGTTGAGAATCAATTTGTCTAACTTCTTCCATGCTGTCATTTTCTTTTCCAGACATTGCATTGTGTTTTCTTATGATCTCATGCTCATCATGAGCCCAGACTTCACTGCCATCATCAGAGCTGTCCTCCACAAATTCATATAACCCTTCATCAGGGATGTCAAGCCCATCTTCATCTGTGGATTCATCTAAGGAATCTTCAGACGAATCTCCATCACCCCTTGCTTCAGGTGGCTGAGAGCCAAACAGAAAATAGTCAAAGACCAACTCATACAAACTAATTAATTGAAAAATACAACCCAAATTAAAAATAAAGATACATATCAATAAATTGAAATAATAAGCAAACTCCCACTTATCAAGAAATAGAGCATAAAAGTGGAAATAAAGATCAAAAGTTTGAAGTAGCATTAAGAGTTTAATGAGATCTATCATAAAGATTTAAAAGGTGAAATATGTGCAGTCTAAGATAAAGACCAAGATGCTGTCACAAGTAAGTGCAGCTCTATGGATGTTGTATCATGACTGAGATGCTATGTTTGGGGAGACCCTGTAAGTGTTGATATTCCTCAGGGAATCCCATGCAAATGAAAGGCATACCAGACATTATCCTTGAACTGAGCCATCATAGCAGAAGTTTCATTCAGTGATGTTACACATGCACAGTGAAACATAACATGTCTTGTGAAACAACTGGAATATGTAGGGCAATGAAATACCTTCTGCTCAAGGCACGTAACCATGATTACTAGGCAATTCTCCCCTAAGATGTGAATGATGATGAGGACTTTAGTTTTGCATTTGGATACATACCAGTTTGTGGCTCTCTTCGAGGTGCTTCATGAGGACAGCGACGACCACGTTGACCAGCACAAACTGAGCCATCAGGACAAACACAACAAAGAAAATGGGGGCCACAAAAGGGTAGAGACAGCAGTTTTTGACGCAGTCTGGCTCGTCATCACAATTGTCCCTTAGTGTGTCCTGAAGATGGTTTACCAAGTTAATTTAAACTTCATTGTCATAGCCTGCATACTTTATAGATCACATAACAAAGTGTGTAAATTTTCTGACTATCCAGAAGATTAATTATACATACCAAAATAAACATTATTCTTAAAATCTCAATAATCATTAGACTACTATTACTCTACTCACTTTCATGATGCCATTCCAGTTGTCTCCTGTTGCTACTCTGAAGAGTGTGAGAAAAGCCATACCAAAGTTCTTGAAGTGTGCGTGTTCTCCTAGCCCCTGGCATGGATGGCTATCATCACATTCTAAGGAACAGATCAATAATGAGACTATGAATAATGCCTTACACTTATATAAGTATATCAAACCCCAAACTAAATAAAATATCTATCCATTTATGCAAGTGTGAAATATCAAAAAACATAAGAGGATGAGAATGAGGATGAAGAGCCATAATAGCAAAGTGTGTTTCTACTGAAGTACAGTAGAGTGAAAAATGAGAAGGTGCAGTTGCCATAAAACTTTCCCCCAGTAACTGGGATATATAAAAGTTATAGAAAATGGAGAACATAACTGACTACCCCTTGGAAGTTGGGGACCATCTGCTTTTAAGGCAACAAGACAGACTAAAGAAATTGAATGTGCAAGAGGGGATTCAGTTCACTGACACAAATGCTCAGTATTCCTGCACATATATTTCTAGACACCTGAGTTTATGAAAGGTAGGAGGATATCAAGTCTTGCATAATAACCCTCCAGAAATGTAATTGTAATTGTAAGAAATGATATCAGTTATGATGAACAGCAGTTAATATATACTAAAAAAACAAGAACATTCAATTCATATTACAGTAGTGCCAAAATAAATCTACATTGAAATCCCAATATATATCAAATATATCAATATATTTTGGTATGAGACCACTTCACCTTCAGACGTTTCTAAAACCATCATTTCAACCAGCAATGAAAAAACAATTGATATAAAAATAAAAATCTTTAAATCCTCACACAGTTTTAACCTGATGCATACCATGCCCACTGTGAGTCTACTATATTAATTGTCTCTACCCAATATGGCTTCACAAGTTGAGTCACCAATGAGCCAATTAATAATTATAATTTCTATGATAATAACAACAGCATAAATATTGATTGTATTATATATAAAAAAAGAAAAAAAAAATCCTGCAAACTCAAGGAAAGGGGAAATCAGGTGAGGTCACAAGGTCTACTAAGTGAATTCTTTATAGCTAAAAACTTGTAGACATTTCACAAAACAATACTACAGTGAACACTACATTTTCTTGGCAGCATAGGATTAATCTAACAAAATGAATGAATGGAAATCACACAAAAATCTTTTTACACTTGCTTACCGAGTCTCCCAAAGAGTTCCACACCGAGAGCAGCAAAGATGAAGAAAAGAAGGAAGAAGAGGAGGCCGAGGTTGCCGACCTGTGGAAGAGCCTGCATGACCGTGTCCAGCAATGCTCGAATGCCCTTTGCCATCTTCAGCAGCTTTAATACTAGTAGAAAGGTAAAAAAAGGCTTTTACTAATTCAGTATATTCATAGATTCATCATATGTAGCCCATTACATAGGACATTTGATATATTAAAACATGACTTAACTTCATACTTCACATTTATGAACAGCCTAGAATCCTGTATGATCTCTCTCTCTCTATCTCTCTCTCTCTCTCTCTCTCTCTCTCTCTCTCTCTATCTCTCTCATTCTCTCTCTCTCTCTCTCTCTCTCTCTCTCTCTCTCTCTCTCTCTCTCTCTCTCTCTCTCTCTCTCTCTCTCTCTCTCTCTCTCTCTCTCTCTATCACTCTCCTCTCTCTCTATCACTCTCCTCTCTCTCTTACTCTCCTCTCTCTCTCACTCACCCTCTCTCTTCTCTCTCTCTCTCTCTCTTCTCTCTCTCTCTCTCTCTCTCTCTCTCTCTCTCGCTCTCATTCTCTCTCTCTCTCTCACTCTCATTCTCTCTCTCTCTCACTCTCATTCTCTCTCTCACACTCTCTTCTCTCTCTCTGTCTCTTACTCTCCTCTCTCTCTCTGTCTCTCACTCTCCTTCTCTCCCTCTCTCTCGCTCTCATTCTCTCTCTCTCTCTCACTCTCATTCTCTCTCTCTCTCTCACTCTCATTCTCTCTCCCTCTCCCTCTCCTTCTCTGTTTCCCACCTTTCTTTTCCTCCCTCCCTCCTTTCTTTTCCTTCGCCTTCTCCATCTCAAACCCTAAACAGAGAAACTGAGCTCCATTTCCAGAACAAATTCTCTCTCTCTCTCTCACTCTCATTCTCTCTCTTTCTCTCATTCTCATTCTCTCTCTCTCTCTCATTCTCATTCTCTCTCTCTCTCTCTCTCATTCTCTCTCCCTCTCCCTCTCCCTCTCTGTTTCCCACCTTTCTTTTCCTCCCTCCCTCCTTTCTTTTCCTTCGCCTTCTCCATCTCAAACCCTAAACAGAGAAACTGAGCTCCATTTCCAGAACAAAAAACATACCTCGTGCAATTCTCAACACTCGCATGACCCTAATGATGGTTGGATTGATGGGGATGATCTCACTCTTCATCTCCTCCAATACAATGCCCACGACTGAGAGGATGACAATGAGCACATCCAGCTGATTCCACCTGAATTGTGGTGAAGGGGAGAATGTGGATTAACATACAAATACACAGTTGGGAAAACCTACTCATAATTCTAAACTTAAGAGCGTAGATGATCGTGCGATTTAATGATTAACTAAACTATTTATAAACAGAATATATATATCTTTTTTCATTTTTGTGAATGAGTAAATTTCAATGAATATACTATAATGTTCTTTTAAGTGGAAAGCAAGGTGCTAGAAAAACAAGCAGTATATGATTTGAATGATATTACTAAATAAAGATTATAAAAAAAAATCCAAAATACTTGGAATAAAAGAAGAAAAAAGTAGTTCCAAAAGATTTTCTAAAATCCTGAACACTTATCAAGATTTTTCAAACACTCAATTATAATCTCCAATGGTCATTTCCTGTGATGCAGACCTTTGTATTCTATAAAATTGGGGTTTACCGTATATCTAGAAAACAGTAATGTTGTTTTTCTTGCATCTGTGGTAATTTCTGAAAATATTTCTAAAATCTACAATGACACTTAATGAAAGAATGTTACTTCCAAATGAAAAGAACTCTATCATTTATGGACTTTCCTTACTTTCTTGTGCATTAACCCATTGCTGCCGGGGATGGCATGTACGTACATGCCATGCCCACTGTGAGTCAACTTGTTCGATTGTTTTTACACATAGATGGCTACACTTGTACTAAGTATCCAATGAGCCAATTACGAGTACTGCCTGTCTCGCCCGTTCACCCTTTTCATCGATTTACGAAAATATTTAACTTTATCCTAATTTGCTGTTAAATATAACATAATCTATATTTATAGCATTAGTAAAAATACGTTTTTTTCCCACCAATTCAAGGAAAGGTGAAATCAGGACAAGCAGAGCCATCTATGGACAGAGATATTTCACAAAAATATAAAAAATGAGTACAGCATTTCCCCCATTTTTTGTTCCTTTTCCCCGGCAGCAATGGGTTAATAGACTATTGCACTGTGGTATGTGGTATTATGTTACAGCTTTTTAAATATCATATACATCATATTAAATTCTGCATTCACTTTTTTAACATTTCATGTGAAGATTATCATGAAGTGTTGTTTACATGACAGGAATAAGAAACTATTATACAAGAAAGATATTGAGAAAAGAAAAGAAAACAGACTAAATATTTTTCACTTTCCTCTAAAATATACAATTATATGAGGTAAAAACTGATCTGTATAGGGTGCAAAAACTTCATAATGCCAAAAACATTACTCGAGATATTACAAAGTTGAAAGAATATAAGACAGCCATCATGACCTGTACCACTGGCACAGGATTCTGTATTGACCCAAAAACAGACTTGTATTCATTTAGTTCACACAGTAATAGGTATTCAATATTCAGTCTCACAAAAGAAAAATGAGTGTTTTAAGGGTATTAAATTATTATAAATCTAGATAAGAGTACTCCATGTATATTCTATATAATATCAGACTATACATTTTTGACAATTCGAATACTTTTACCAGATTACCCCTTATGTTTACCATTTGAAATAGTTATCTATGACTAGGCACAATATCTGTAACTCTTTTATCTATATCAGACTATAAATAATATTTGATATGTATATATCTATATCAGATTGTCCAGTAATTGGCACAGATACATAATTAGTTACTATTGACATGTTATTGTGAGCTTGAAATTTTTGCCAACAATCTGTGTGAAACATCAAAGCCTTAGGTCAAGTAACTTGATACACAAGAATATAAAACCAATCTGCTAACACTTAAATAACATGTTGTAATGCAGGGAAAATGAAACTATTACTATAGCATGCAAGAATATTGTGATGATGCTTCAGTATCCAGAAGAAATTGTTGTGGAATATAAAGGACCAAATGCACAATAGAGAACTCATGAGCATTTACTTTTTAATTTTTAAAATATTTTGTCAAATAATGGGCTGAAACATTTGATAACATAATTTGATAACATGATACATAAAGTACTTGATGGATATGAACTGTACTTTCCTAAAGAAAAAAATAATTGCCCTATTGTAAATGGGTTATCTAAGATTATTATTATATAAAAAAAATGTATTGTGTATCTTCTTTATATATTTTTTCATTCAACAAACAAATCTCAAACTAGCACACTTGTGCAATGTTCAAAATGTAAAATATATTCAAATGTAATATTCTTGTGATTTTTTTTTTTTATAAAAAACTTCCATTTTGTCAGTCTTCCTATTATTCCTTAATAAAGATTTTTAAAAGCTTGCCTGTAAGGTCTCTTCCCTAGCTATTTATGAACTAAAATTAGGAAGAAACACTAAGAAATCTCTAAGAACTTTTAGTAGGAATGCAATAATAAGAAATCTACTTATACCAGAACCAAAGAAACTGTCATTACAAAACATTATGTATATATTACACAAGTTTTGTTATTAGTTTGCAACTACCAAGAAACTGTAAATTGTGTTTTGAATGTAAGTGGCAAACCAAGCAACAATTGACACAGAAGTCAACTTTAATGCTAAATTAAGTTATGTTAATAACAAGTGATTCATGGAATGCTTCCTGTTTGTCACTATTCCTTCAAAACCTTGAGGTTGTATTCATTACAAAGGGGGAAATGCATATAAAAAGGTACCATAAAACATTGAAAAATCTACATATGACTAATTCCTGGATTATTTACCCACTAGCGGATACGCATTGCAGCCCAGGGAAAGGGAAAAATATTAGAGTACCAGCTACATAACTATGTAGACCCACATCATCAACCAGTGAAATACATAGCATTATTTATCAGCATATTTGGGGGGATTACATATGTATTAACAGTTGGCTAATGAGAGGGAAAAAAATTATCCCTACTTATACTTATGAAAATGATAAAGTAATTTTGTGGGAAAATACAGGATGATGTGCAAGTAACTTCACTGTTGATGTTTGGGTTCAGACAATTATTATTACAATACAAGGCTATAAGCTCTAGAGTGGCTTCATAACTATAATGGACCAGTATCACATCTGATTTAAATATACACAGAATGTAATATTCCTATTGTTTGGCTTACTATTAAGAATTTCATATAACTAGAGTAAAAAAAAAAATAAATAAAATAAAATAAAAAAATATATGTTTTTGTCCAAAAAACAGAGGTGAAGGTAAGATAAAATGGTATATTTACTTTGTGATGTAAATGGTAGCTATTCAGTTAAGAAGATGTAATAGGTATTCTTTTCAGAATAACTATCAAATATAGCATTATCAATTGTAAGTCCTTTTCACTCACCATATATGTATATGAGTGTGATATGACTGACAGACTAATTTCTTAACTAAATGGATGATTGTCTTAAATATCAGTTCAAGTTGTGAGAAACTTTAAAATCTCGTCCATATTAGTAAATGCTTGCCAAATATCAATGATCTTCCTGCAACACACACACTGATACTATAGCTGCAGACTACCAACACCTCCACTGACACCTACATACTTTTCATCCCAACCTTTCTGAAAATAAATCCACAGTAACTTAAAGGACATTCTCCTATACGGTAGTTTATCTTGCACTGTGCAAAGCTAAGGCTCTTCTCCAGGGGAAGGGGGGGGGGGGAGAGGACCTAATTTTGCCTGTTCACTAAAGCAGTGAGAATAAAGCAAAGGCTGGGAGTATACTAGAGGCTGAGGTTAGGTTCCAAGTATATAGAAGTGAGTGTAGGTCTAGGCAAGCACTGCAACCAGTCCTCCCTCACCTAAACTCCTCGCTGGGGATGTGGCCACCCAGGGGCAGGGACAAAAGTTAGACCACCAAGGACATTACGGATGGATGTATCGAAGATGAGGGAAATGTTAAAACATGGTGAGATCATCATTACAGGTGTACAGAAATGAAGTAAATCATAATCTAATATATCTGAACTATGGTATTACTTCTTTTTCCTGTCAGCAGTTTAGATCACCTGAATAACAACTAAAGATATAACATGCCTTCTGGGAACCTGTAGTGCATGAAAATAAATATAATATATATCAATAACCTCTTCCACATGACTTGACCTGCTCATTGGGTAAGTCATCATACAAATGTGAATAAGTGCATTAGGAATAATGGAGCACAATTAAAGGTGGCGTGAGGAATAATACCAAAGTAATGAATGTGACACACAATAAAATGTTTTTTTCTTTCAAAATGAGGTGAAGAACAAATCATAATCTCCAAGCAGAAGAAACTCCTTGTGTATGTGATATTTACACACCTAGTTATATCTGTTTATCTAAATCAAATTCATCTATACAATACATTTCTTATTAAATGTATCAAAACATGATTAATATAAAAACTCTATATTATTTTGCAGCATTGTTTCATCTCTTAAAATAAGCAGAAGAGAACTACTTTTTCTTTTTATAAATCCCAGTCAATATAAATCATGTAATGAAATACAAGAGGAAACAATGGCTGCCTAATGAAATGAAAGACTTGAAGTACTCTAACCTCAGTAAAAGAAGAATTTCAAAGCTATAGAGAAAAGGTTCACCTAAAATGCTGACAGTAAATAATCATTGCCATTTCATAATATTAAACACTCATTCACTGAACTCTGAAATATTAAATACAACAGCTTATACTTTGGAAAAGGGTTGTTTAAACTATGTTATCTAAACATTAAGTTAGCATCTTGTAGATTAGAGTTTGCTTCATAAACATTGAATATATATATATATATATATATATATATATATATATATATATATATATATATATATATATATATATATATATATATAATATAATATATATATATACATATATATATTTCCACTGTTTTCCACAATCTCAATAAATTGTTGCTTATTTTTAATTTTTGGCTTGAGTAGTCTAAAATATTTAAAAATATACACCTATTTTCAGTTTTGATAAAAAGAAAGTAATACCATAATGGAGGTGACTAGTGTAGAATATTGGCAAATGAATCTGAATTATCTTTTTACAAACATTCAAAAATTCTTTTAAAAAATCTGGACTTACTATGTTTTTATAAGTACAATAGAATGTAACATTATTATCTACTAACAATAATTAAAATAATAAAAGAATTAATCTGTGATAACTAACTGCCAAATGTTCAGATTCATTTGCATAAGTTCAAATTCTATGTTCAAAAATTTAGAGATGGAGGAGATAGAGCTGCTGGTACTACCTGTCCTTGAAGTATCTTCTGCATCCAAGAGCTAGCATTTTCATGGCAGATTCCAGTATGAAAACTGCTGTGAAGAAATAGTTGAAGATCTGAAGAGCATACTCCAGTTCCTGTTGGAAGAGACAACTTTTTTTTAAAGTAAACATAGTGGCAAAAATATGCTTATCAATCATAAATATTTCTTTAGTTATGTATAATGATTCTATAGTGCCTTATTCCTGAGTATAGCCATATCACTGTTCTGCACATTATAGGAAAGACTTGCATAAACAGTCACTTTCTGATTCAAAGCATGCACTAATCATATTGTGAATTATGTCAAAGAACCCCACCTTTGGCATCTTATAAAATTCCATGGCCATGGTGACGACATTGAGACCTATGACAGCAGCAATTGCAAGGTCAAAATATTTACTGGTCACAATATTGTGAATGAAAAGTCTTGCCTTTGAATAGCTGCTGTAGTAAGGTGGCTCACGCATTTCTGGGGAAGAGTGGTCACACATTACATATTGCTTGATGTCTTATAATTATGCATGCAGAGAGTACATGCATCACAAGATTATACTTAACCTGTAAATAACAATTTTATTATGATCTATGAGTTTTCAAAGAATATATTTATGGCTTTCCCACCTACACAACTTTAAATTTGATAACAGTTGAGAGATTGCTTCTGAATAATGTAAAAAAAAAATGCATATCTAACACACACACACACACATACACACACACACATACACGTATATATATATATATATATATATATATATATATATATATATATATATATATATATATATATATATATATATATATATATATATATATATATATATATAAATAAATATATATATATATATATATATATATATATATATATATATATATATATATATATATATATATATAAATATATATAAATATATATATATATATATATATATATATATATATATATATATATATATATATATATATATATATATATATATATATATATATATATATATATAAATGTACACGGGGACATTGTATTCTATGCAATTTCAATGTAATAATAACAGAAGTCTGTGTATACATGTATGTATGTATGCACATGCACGAACACACACACACACACACACACACACACACACACACACACACACACACACACACACACACACACACACACACACACACACACACATGTACAAGGGGACATCATATTCAATGCAATTTCATTGTAACAATAATAGATGTCTGTGTATACAAGTATGTATGTGCATGCACACACACACAGTATTAAAGTCTCTCACTTTTCAAGTATTGCAAAAAAGAAGTTTGTTTTGGTTAATGCTCAATACAAGGGTAATCATATATGCAGTCTACTAAAATATTTTGTCTTGAAATGGTTTAAAGATTGGATAAATATATGCTTACTAAAATCTATACAACTGACATAAACCCTCATAACATCTGATGATTAAAAGATATCTTTGACATATCTACATGCTCAGGTATCAAGTGTGATTCTGTTAAAGATTCACTGCATCTAATCATGAACAGCCTTTATTGAGTTAGTTTTGGAAAAGGCATGAAACACTAGTCATGGTTAATTCTACAGCTCAGTCTCTAATGTCAAACTATTTCACCCATAAACACCCATTACTTTCTTGAAGCCTCATAAGCTTCAACAATTTCTTCCTTCTTCTGCGTCTCCTGATTTCTGCCTCGATGTCTACTGTGGAAGGGTCTATGCCTGCTGCAACTAGACTCTTTATTCTCTCTTCCCTGAATTTCTCTAGTTCTTATTGTTGGAAGAAGAAGAGGAGTTGAAAGATAATGAAGAGACATACAGCTGCATCATAAGGTGAAACTCTGTTGTTGTTTACTTAAGGACAAATTCACAATGAATATGTATGAGGCAGGTTTACAAGAAAACCATTACAAGAATAAGTAAAAGGAAAGAGACAGAAATGATCCAATAATGAATACACATCAAAATTCACAGAAGATAATATTATAGAAAAGAAAAGAGTCTTACTTTTGATGTAAAACAGTTGTGCTAAAGCAAATAAGAACAAATATTCTAAATGACATTATAAAGTTAGATGCTTACTTCTTCTCTTTTTCTCCAGCTTTTTGGCTCTTTTGGCTGCCCTGCGAGCTTTCTCTTCCTTTTCCTGTTCTTCTCGGCATCTGTGGAAGTTCTCCACGACGACTCCAACGAACATGTTCAATACAAAGAATCCCACGAGTAACAAGAATGAGATGAAGTATAACAATCTCCACTGAGAATAGTTTTCCTTTGGCTGCAAGGAGGAAAAGAAGAGTTCAATACTGCTACTGTCATAAACATTCTCTTCTCATAAAAGATCTATGATATAATATTTTGTTTTTTAAAATTCTCATACAGTGCAGTTGAATGTTTGATGGAATATCCAAATTATTTATATTCACTTTAAATTGAAAGTAAATCAATGGCATAACTGGGAGAGGCAATTTTTTACCTTCTCCCATGCCCTCAATGGGGGGGGGGGATCTTTTATCAGGCAGAAATAAATACTTAAGTTCAAATGAGTAACTAAGTGTTTTTATATTAATTGTATATATATTTTATCAAACTAAAATAATATGTGACCCAGACTCCTAGGCCTCAAGTGTCTAGCTACATGACAGGAGGAAAATTATTACATCCTTTTTTGTTATTAAATATCCGAGTAATTTACAGCAGTATTCAAGAGATATCATTTATGTGCACTTGTGTAATTTTCTTCTGTTTCCTGCTACTATTTGTACTACTAATCTGAACAGTTATTTTCGGACATATTGTTTCACAAAATAAACATGACAACACTTACTTGGGAATCATTTATACATTAAGATATTCCTCCTTACCTGCAAGTCAACTCCAACAGCATCTAGACCAGTATACATAATATTGACCCAGCCATCTTTTGAAGAGAGGACAAATAACGACATGAGTGCCTGACCAAGATCATCAAAGTTGTACTTCCGATTGAGCCAGATGTTGCCGGGAATTGCCAAGCACTCGTCCTTGGTTGTGACATTTTTTATAATTTCACCTTCACAGTAAAAAAATGTACCCTTGAAAAGCTGGAAAGGTAGTAAAAGGAGAATCAACTGTTATATTTTATGTAAGTAAAAAGTGATATTGCTTCATTTATATAAAGTGAATCCAAGAATCTGCAATCTAAAAATAATACATGTATGATACATATTTCATAACTGTTAACTTCACAATGGATAGCACAAAAGTATCATATATTCGAATAATAAAATACAGATTACTTCTTAGTTTACCTGAACTCCCAGGATGCCAAA